AATTTGTACTTGTTAGAACTTGTTTCACTAGGAAGGCTTTCTGATTAGGTGATGGCTCTTTCTCAAAGGCAATTTCAATGATTTCCCCTGCCCCCACATAGCTTGAAAAGTTCTCAGCCTTCCTCTCTGGTATGCAGAGAGATAATAAGTTTGCAGACAGGTACAAGGCCTCCTTGGGCCAGAGAGAGTGGGGGAGGAGAGAGAGAAGATACAAAAGCCTTGGAGGAGAAGGAGTGGGTTTGTCCCTGGGGCCTGATGCATGCACCATCGTAAAAAAGTGGTCCTTGCATCTGAAATAAACCTTTTTTTTAAATCCTTCGACTGCCTTGGCATTCTTGGGAAGAATACCTATGTATGTTTCACCTTACAACCAAAGATTACTTAACTTGCTTGCCAGAAGAAAGTTTTCTTTTTTTGACTGAGCACAAAGCAAATAAGTGAGGAAAGTTCAACAACAGCAGAAATGGAGTATCTGAAAAATAGTCAATGGAATAGTGTTAAATACTAATGCACCATCATGAAATATGTTGAATATGAAGTGGGAAAAATCACTTAAATCAAATATTTTATTTGATCATTTGAATTGCTGGTGATCAAGGAAATTTTAAATTTCATTTTGCTTTTTATTAGTGAATCGTTACTAATAGCTATTAATTATTTTATTAGTTAACTACTTCACTTTTTATTAGCGGAAAAAGGACTGGTGAGTGGGCAGGACTGTAAGCCAGTCATTGCAATTGAAAGGTATTTTCAGCAAAACAATTTATGTCACTTTAATGACTTTTCAAGGAAACAAGTGGTCATTTCCCTTTTTAAAAAAAAATCTTAAGGAACTTAATCTTACTGTAATGTCTATCTGTTGGAGAGGAACTCCTTCAGCAAAGAGTAATGTACAGACTGAATTATAGGGAACCTGTTTTCTCTATAATTGCATCAAATGTATTAGCAGTTTGGATCTAATTAGATTGTTCTTAATGAAAACCATTATGAATTCCATTAAGAATCTATGGTTACTGGTTTTCTGCATTCTATTGAAAGATAATTACACTTCCCCTTCCCTGCTAAAAACAAAATAATGGAAGAACCACTTTTTCATATCTTTTTTCTTGTACAACTGGAACACACTATGCAACACCAAAAAAATTAAAAAAGATCTAAGAAGAAATGCATTTGAATAAAGGAGTGGCCATCTTGGAGACCCTTATCTTCCTGAAGTGTTAGCAATTAGGTGGTGTTGGTATTCTGTCCTCCAGGGGGAAAACTGGTACCAGCCTAATAAATCCAATCAGGATTTATATATATATATAAATTTACTTCCATGTGTATGGGAAGTATGCAGTTTCTTCTGCTGAAGGCAAAAGCCACTTTGTCTTAAAATATGAAAGGTTCAATTGGAAGTGAGAGGACAGAGCAGGACAGGTGTTACATTTTCAGTGTATACATTACATTCCTGGTTCACCTTACTGCATAAACCAGCTTATTTCAAAAATACGTTGAATTCTTTTGTCCACTTAAAACTAGGATTCAACAACATTGTTTATGATGCAAGAATAATGGATCCATACCAAATTTAGAGCACTTATCTCAATGGCAGAATTCCTTTTCTGACACTACAGAAGTAACTCATTTTCTTACAATAAAGCAAATAAGCATTTAGTGAGTCTATAAGTGATCCTTTTGAAAATCAGGCTTTCTTAGAATGCATTGATAATGGAATAATTCAGACTGCTCCAAATTTCAATATATCCAAAATTCATTGAAATCTGTGCATAGGATTAAATTTGGGCAAAAATGGAACGCAGTTAATGGAATTAGCAGTGATGCTAATAATTATGTTTGTATAATTTACCTTTCAGTTAGGTCAGCAAATCAGGTAATTGAGCCAGACTATCCACAAATTAGTTGCAAGTGAATTCAGAGCTACATTTATTTCCAGTATCTGGATCCTAACCAATCTCCCATCATCTTTTAGATAGCAGGAAAAGACTTAGTTGCTTTTCTAGAAAGAGTAATTTACTTTATGCACATATATGTATATTGATAAATAGATACATTACAAGGTGCAACAAGCTCTTACCCACTAGTAGTACTTGTACTTTGACAGAACGATCCTGAAGTTGTTAGAGGATACATTTGACTGACAAGAGTATGTTTCTATCTTCTTTAATACAGGGTGTCATAATAAAGTTTGAAACTCCCTAAGTGGGAGGGGAAGCATCAGGGCTGTGTTGGCTAGAATCTAGTATCCATAAAGAAATCCCTTCTTAGGTATAATGCCTAACACAATTCCTATTGCTAATGACGTTCCTAGTCTCTCTTAATGACTAGTCTAGGAGTCTTTGCTCAGAAATCCAATATGAGGCTCCAACTGTCCTAAGTATATTCCTTACTAACAGTTTTGAGCTCTTATGTGTACAATGTTTTCTGCGAAAAATGAGACATTTCTGTCAGTGAATGTAGAAGCCTTTCTTGGAAATGAATCTGCACTAAACTTGCATCCCAGGCTCTCAACAACACTGTGTTATATTCTCTGTATAACTTGACAGGTGACAATTATAATTTTTTTCTCAATACTTGGGAGTGGGATTAAAGAAATACAGAAATAAGAATTCCTGTTCTTCCTTCCCCCTTCTTTTTTTTAAATATTTTTTTCTCGGTGCAAGAATATTATTGAGTTTTATATAGAGCTTTGGACTAAGTATATGAATATTAAAATAATAACCATCTTGCATCACCTGCTGAATTTCATCTCATTTGGCTAGTGATGCGTACTCCCTGTGGAGGATTCGTCTGCTTTGCTTACCTTATCTCCAAACATTTGATTAGAAAGACTTACACCATATCAGTTGCAAACACATGGGTCCGCAAGATTCTGTATAATCCAAAATAGTCTGACACTATGCAGTAAAAATTAGGACTGGAAAATAAGATGGAGTCATGGAGATAAGAATACTCATAACATGGAAAGTTAACTTTACTCTGAGTTGCACCAAAACTCATCAGGGTGTGTCAGCACTGTGAACTGGGTAAAGAAGTACTGAAGCACTTTTGAATATGTCTCAGTTTGCCAAAGTGTTTACAAGTAGTTAAAATATTATAGTGTGGTATCAGGCCACAAGTTCTAGAATGACTTGGAGATTTGTATTAACAGGCATGAGATTTACACAGAAGAATTGAAAACATACTGTTATGCGCTACATTTTACGGGGTTTATTGCTGTAAGGCACATCTGTCAGGTGAATTAGTATTCTCTGAAGCTGACAGGTGAACTCCCTGGAGACTCTGTTTTTGTGATAAATACAGCAAAGTTAGCAGAATGGTGTGGTTTTGTCTCTGCATCGCTGGAAGGACAACTGTGGTCAGTGGTGTTGCTCTACAGGAACAGCTGAACTGTCTTGGGCAAAGGCCTGGCTGATTCATTTGGGAAACTGAGCTTTTGTGCAAGCCTGTTCAAGGCACCAGGATAGATTCTTACAGATGTTTTTTTAAGGTTCCATATTTCTTGTTTCAAGACACATTTCTTTGACTCGACCCTTAGTAGTAGAAGGATATAAAGCAGAAAATTTAAAAGAGAAACAGAAAAATAATGTAAAATATGAAAGAACTGTACATGACAAATATTACTGACAAAACCTGGTGCACTTCTAGGAAGTTTTATGGTAATATGCTACATGGTAATCTATAGAGAAAAGAGAATTTTCTGGGATTTATTTACAGAGGATAATTGACCTATTTCACTCCATGTCTATGTGAGATGGACACTATATGTAGTAAATACCAGCTGAGATAGTGTATTTTTACAGTGGTAGGCAGTCAACTTCAATTTGAAAATTTTTCACACCTAAGTGATAGAATAGTATTCTTACAGGAAGGCAATATCACTAATACTGACTGACTCTTCATTGTTTTCATTTTAAAACCCTATGCCATACTCAGATAATATTTTTTTCCATTTCAGTGGAATGTCCGTCTAAGAAAAAATAATGGTTAGCCTATAACAGGAAAGTTTCTGTGCCTTTTCTTTATTTCCTTTCTAAACTACCTTCCAACTTCCACAAATCTTTCTACAAGAGGAGTATGGAGTGTGTTGTTTCATTATCATGATATCTCATCTTAAATCTTCTCTGGTAACTACTGACAAACGGTACACAGTAACACTTCCAGTGACTTGCTGTTCAGTAGTTTAAAGCAATATAATGCATACAGACCCTATTTAGGTTGAATAATATATACTTTTTGCATGACCCTGCAAAAAAAGGTTGTTGGAGGTGAGAGATTTGGCCAGTTCTGCTGTATTTCTTAACAACAAAATTGGGTCATCCTTCCTCATCTTTTCACAACTGAACAGAAGCTTTCGTATTTCCATTCTACTTCCATTATTTTTTATGTACTGCTATCTGTACCATTAACAGAATCAATAAAGTCATATGGTGCTGCTATTTAGAAATATTTGTCTCAATAAGCAGTAATTCTGGCTTAGCCTAGGAACACAGCTTGGTTAAAAAATGTGGAAACCTTGATAAACTGCAGTGTTTTCAGTATTAATTGTTAAATGATGTAATCACATAAGAATCTGGTGCATCCTTGTTGTTACTTTACTACAAAGCAGTGTTGCTCTCCAGCCCACAGGAATTTATCATGACTGAATTTTCTTCACGTAGAGACCTTGAATCTTTAAGGCATCAGCCTTGTGTCCTTCTGATCAAAATTAATACTTACTAGTTCCATATGTAATTATTGGCATCTGTTCCTTGTTCAAGGAAGACTCCTCTTTTCATAAAGGTGATCAGAGTCTTTTCCTGTCACGGGTTCCTAGTTGTTGAAACTATGCTCTCACATGATGATTTTTCACATTCAATGTCCTTCTTCTCCACTACCACCTCAAAAAATATATTGCAGAATATTTTTATCTTTTGTCAAAGGCCTAGATTTATTTTAATTTAGTTCCACTGTCTGTCTTTTACCAATTCTTGTCTTGTCTTTCTTTCCCTCTCTTTCAGAGGATAAAGTATGGACAACTGTGTACCATGATCTGCAAATGCAGACTTCTGTGGGAGGCAACAGCCTGGAGAAGTTATCTGTACTGCAGCTCAACTACAGTGCAACAATGGACCAGATTTCTGCCATTACCAGTAGTGCTGAATACTGTGAGCAGTTTATCTCCTACTCTTGCAAGATGTCCCGGCTGCTGAATACACCAGGTAGGCTGAGAATGGGATATCCACTAAATATGGTGTTAAAAAACTTTATCTGAACAATCAAACAGGTATTGCTGTTAGACTTCATTCATTGAACAGACTTCTTGTTCTCCTTCATTAAAGTTGACAAAGAGGTAAATAACTGAAAATACAGAAGACATTTTCTTTTTAAAAATTGCCTGTTTGCTTACTACTAAAATGATTTTTATTGCACTGTGTGTTTTTGTGTTCTTCTCTCAGATCTGTTGCTCCTTAAAGCAGGAGGCTTTTCCTAAACATGGTAACTTTTACAGTTTAATCAATAGAGGCATTGAAAAATTGCTTTGAACTTTATCCTGTTTTTCTGGCTGTCAGTTTTCATATGCTACAAGCAGCAAGGGCACTGGCTGAATAAGGGCTGGAATTTTCCCACTAATATTTCTGAAACAGTTTTTTAAACACAGAGTATTTCTGGGTAATCAGATGCCTTACACATTGTAGGGACTGTCATGGTCAGTAATGTAATTGTGTAAGAAATGATATGCTGTTACCTACAAGTAGATTCATTATAAGTTTCTTCTTTTGCTGTGTAGCTTTACTGGAAGAGAACAGTCCTAGTACTGCTTTCTGTATATGCCTCCTCAACAAGTGTTACTTCTAAGTGATAAAGACAAAAGTATTAGTTGCTCCAGAATTAGTAAAGCAGCACATAAGGAAGGAATTCCATTTTAAAAACCCTTTTAATATGCATCTAGTACTTTATGTATACTCTAATTATGTATGATAGATTTTGATGTTAAATAAATCTTAATGGTACTTAGGGAAGACTGGTTTATAAGTGGAAACATATAGCATATTTTCGTGACTGTGAAATGAATTCATTGTCATAAGAACAATTCAAATGCATTTCAGATTAATTTCATGGCTGCATGCTTACTTTAGGGTGCTTCCCCTCATGAATTTGTTTTTGGTATATTTTCTTATGGTGCTATAGATAAGGATTCATTTGGCATGCATGTGCATCTTATTCCTATTTTCATAAGCATTCCGTTAGTTAATAGACACTGTAATGCTTCTTACTCCCTCTCCCTCCTTCCTGCTGTTTTTTTAACTTTTCTAATGTGTGCTTTGTCTCTGTTGCTGTTATTTTGCTTAATTTAGCACAGCACAGAGACTCTGCACTGTGGAAAATGATTTCTTCTTTCTTGGGCCTTAATATATAGGATCCTGAATTGTGTTCATAACTAGAAGTATTGTGATTAGATTCTGCTGATGGATACAAGCTCCCTGCTTGCATATGCTTCAGAAAAGTTGTATATGGGTGTATCTTTGGGCAGATAGTTAGAGGGCAAATTTGTTTGTTAGTGGAGCTGGAGATAATGTGCTTAGAAAGCTCATAGTTTACCCAGAGTACAGTGTTAGATTCTTCTTCTTGAAATGTATAAGACTATTATTTCAGGACCAATTTGTGATTTTTAGTATATATGTATGTTATAATAAAATAAATATACACCATAATTCCAGATGTTTGCCCTAGATTTAGAAGGACAATTAAGCAGCATAACTTAGTGAAATTTTTTTAAAGAAATAATCAGTTCCAGCTATTTGCATTTTTAAGGTTCTTAGAAATTTGTGAGCATCTTTTGCAGCTGTCTCCTTCTTCATGTTTTAACCTTTTTTATTGAAAAACAAATTCTCTTAGAAACTCTTTATAAACTAGTTTTTTGGTATGGAAAGTGAGTTTCTAGAGATATTCTGTAATGTGTCATTTTTTCCGTTTAAGTGAGAGAAAGAAGCAACAAAGGCAGATTATTTTAACCTTGACAGTAACAAAAAATTACACTGCAGTGTTTGCATAACACCTGTAATGGTTTGTACACATAGAACAGCAGTGATTTGTGTGTTAGTGAGGAAGAGGCCAATACATTTTCTTTCTATGTGTTCTTGGCTTCAGTCTATGGTTTCTAAACCAAAGAACTAATTTTTCATACCTTTCTCTGTTTTGGAGGATTGCCATATTTGCTGAATATATTATGACACCCTATTCATCTCACAGCACAGCTCCAAGTACTCATGTGGCTTCTTCCACCACTGAGCTTTTTGTATAAATCATTGCAGTATGGTGCCCACACAAAGAAATTTTTAAAAAATCAACATTTATATATTCCTTGGGAAGTGAGAACCTGGTGGTATTGCTGCCAGTAGTAAAACCTCTGCAGGCTTCACAGGATGAGGTCAGAATTTCTGGCCTTGACCATAGGTGCTTTTCTAGGCTGAAACTTTTTTGTTTACGCCTTCCAGATGTTGAACTAATCACTTAAGATAGAAAGCTCCTTTTTGTTTTAAATTGCATCAAAGAGAACTGAGAAAATGGAGAAGACAGTTCAGCAACTCAACTTTTTCACTTTTTCGTCTCCTGGGGATCATGCCACTTTACAACACAATTCCTTCTCAGGGAGAAATTGCTCAGTTAATATATTTAAACAAATCAGGACCCAAGCTGATAACCTGATAATTCAGGTTTGAAGAGACTCAAGAATGTCATCTCGTTCAATTATCTTCTCAAAGCTGAATGAACAGTCCACGTCTAGTAATAAGCAAAGACTATGTGGAAACGCAATGTTCTGTCTTTACCGTTTTGGCTTTGGGGTATTTTTTGTTTGTTTTGAACTCGCAGCCCAATATGTTATAAATTATGTTCAAACCTATGGGTCTGTTTCAAAGCCTTAACTAAAGATCATCAGAAAAAATTAGTCAAGATAGCTTGGTGACTTTCTTCAGAAAGTGCAAAATGAGAAACATCTGCTGAAAATACACCATGTTATCATAATAAAAAGCAAAACTATCGGTACACTGTAAATTTCTGAGGAAACCATTTTCAAGCAGGGATCCTGCAGTGGGATCCTGACTCTGATACAGATTTCGTCTATGATTGTAACAATTTTTATTTTTATTACCAACATGAGATTGATGCTTCTTATTGTCTATATTGTCTATTTAGATCATATGTTTTTTCTAAGAATAGGAATTCCTTTGTGAATATACAGTTATTATCATGATAGAGGCTTAATCTTGGTAATTCAAGTAACTATTGCAGTTAATAAATGAATGAAATAGTAAGCCCATGGATCATAATTGCAACCTAATAACAATGTACATATATATGTAATTTGAAAAATAATAAACACCAGACTTTTTGTTTTTCTCTTCTATATTTGCATTTCTCATATCCTCTTTTCTTCTTGTTTCCTTGGAAACTTCCATTTTGAGAGGATAATAATGTTTAGTACTGAGAATGTGCAGAAAGCTTGTTTTCTAAGTTCTTGATGTCCAGTTGATATGGCAGGTGATAGGACATTTGCCTTATTTGCAAACAGGAACTTGGAGATAGAAGAAAGTTCTTTTGTACCCACCAATTAACAAGGGGGGAAAAGGCAATGCAGTATGTAGTATCATTTTGCTCTTATAAAAATAAACTTCCCTTCTTTGCTGTAAGAAACAAAATTATACAGAGAATAGTGATAGGATATACTCACAGAACACAAAAGGTTAGTTAATAAAATTATATATCTTCATCCACTGTTTTCATGAGACTTCCTAGTAACACATAAATGAGACTTCTTTGGTATGAAATTTTCCATGGGCCACTGATCTTTGCCTCCAAAATGGGGAGGGAACAGCATGCTAGTTCTTCCATTCTTCCTTTTACCATGGGAATAAGACCCTGAAGGGAGGTGGGCTGCTCTGTTCACTGTATCTGTGTCTTGTCATTTCCCAGAGCTGTAGGAACTGTAACAAATAATCAGAGAGTGGGAGCTAAAAGCATAGATACAGAGAACAGAACAAGATCTGTTGGTGCTGTGTTTCAATTTTTATTCCTATTCACTGTGCCTGCAGGCAGCATATGAAAAACATATAGCAGAGTTACTGCAGTACATGAATTACTGTTTCATGCCTGTTTGCCTCTGGAGGAAATGAGACAGCAGGTTCATTAATTTAGGACTTTAACTGGTGAAATAGAAAACTTAATTTGATGTTTGGTTGTTTTAGTTACAATAAAGCAATCATAATACCAGTAGGAAGTAAGATTTATGCGTACACTGAGATAAAAACAAAGTGAAAAATTGCAATATGGTATTTTTTCCTAAGTTGCCATCCAAATCAGAACTTAATGAACTTATGAACTTTCCCATCACTACCCACTAATTGATCTAGAGTACTAGTTGCAGATATAATTCCTGCTTAATAAGATTTCTTCAGAAAGAGTCTGAGAGAGGAATGGGATTTCTGTAGTCCTACGGTGATGAATGGGAGCCTCTCCAAAACTTGCTTCAGCACCCTGTTTTCCATGTTCTTTCAGAAAACATGCCCCTAAGCTTTCATGTATCTTGTCCAGCCTTAAGAATATTGATTGACTCCTTTTTCTTAGAGTGGCGGTCTGAAAAATAAAAGCTAGATGATCCCAGTTTGGGGAAACTGGAATACTTTATTGAACACGAGAACACAATTTAAAGGCATCTGGGGCTGGACATGTTAATGAAGGGGACAACCTATGTTAATTGGGGAGTTGCACAAATTTTTGCTGCAGTTTCCAAATAGTTAATTTTCCTTCTAGTAGGATTACATGGGGGATAGAGGGATTACGGGGGTTTGGACATGATTTTAACAATCATCTCAAAAAGTCCTTTCTGATTTCTGCTGGAGCCAGGCTTAATCCATAAGGTAGAACTTTAACAGGTCTTGTAAGAAGGGTCCAGCTCCTTCAGATCACGAGGTTTTTGTCAACCCTTGTTGCCCTTTTGCTGAAAGCTGGGTTTGGGCTCCCACATTCTTAGTGTTCTAGAAAAGTTGATTTCAACTTCTAGTAATTTTTAAAGCACAAGGGTAGCAGGAACAGTGACCTTGCTCCACTCTGATCTACATGTTCATGTCCTAGAAGTGGAAAACTTCAGCTTTTGGTGATTTCTTTTTCACTTAGTCGTTGCCATATTGCCATAAAACAGAAAAAGACAATAATTCATATG